AGGGCTGTGTCACTGAGGGGGAGTGGGGCCAGTGCGGGCAGGAACGCAGCACAGGCTGCCCCAGGCAGGAGCAGGCAGGGCTTGGCCCCATGTGGAACACCTCAGGGGCAGCCACGGGCCAGATACAATCAATTGGCAGGCTGGATCCAACCCGTGGCCCATATTTTGCCCATCTCTGCATCATGAAGTAGTGAGGTTACCTTGTGTGTAGATGCCTAGCAACAGTTCCAGGACTTCCACGTGGCAAAGCAGACATTCTTGGACTGGCCTGGGGCAAGAAGCCTGCCTCTTAACTCTCCAGTGCCAAAGCACAGTTCCGAGGGGACCTATCCCACATCAAAAATGAGCTCCTAGTTATCTGGAAATTGGCTGTTGAATGTCTCTGGCTAACACATTTGGTGTTGGCAAGTCAAGTGCTGTGGGGGTAGGGAGGCAGAACTGTTTTGTGATGCCTTTATGAAATGGAAGATGCCTGAAATAATAGCAGAATTTCAGAGAATGGGGTTCTCAAACTGCACTGAAGCCACTGATGGCGCACAAGTGCCTCTTGTCTGCCTTTCTGTTAGGAGACAACGCATGCATTAATTGTGACCATATACTATTTCCTGGGTCATCAAAACTCAGTGGGTGACTGGGGAACACAAATATGGGCAGCAGTGGCAAGAAGCTCAATGCCAGGGTTTTGAGGAGAGGAGAGAAGATATTGACGTGCTTGGATAAGCCAGTACTTCATTCCCCACTCCTTACCCCAAAGACATAGTCATCAGAGCAGTTCAGGTGCCCACCTGGATTTTAAGGACCTTCTGCTATGGCTTATGAAGCCATTACCTTTCAAGAGCAAGCTGGCACTTGAGAGTACATTTGGACAGCTGAAGGCAAAATGGCACATAGACATTGCCCTCATAACTCACTTCATAACTCATTACATTGCCTTAACTCATAACTGGGTCTTGCTAATCTGTCTTTACTCCATGTTCTTTTCCCCATTTTAATAGTCTCTATCTTCCATTAATAAAGCTATCCCTTCTTCAATTTTCTTGTCTGTTAACTACTCCTGGGAATGTCTTTTCTCCAATTTCACCACCCTACAGCCTGTTTTGAACACTCATTGTGCTGCTTTTTTCTCAGACTTGAAAAAGAATGCCCTGTATTTGAAAGCTTGTCTTAGTCTATCCCAACCATGCAGTTGGGATATCACCCACAAAAAATCACCGCCTCCAAAATCATTTGCAGGTCAGCATGCCGCAGGCTAGATGTCTGACCATGGCCTGCTGTGCTCTACACAATGCCAGTGATGCCAGAGGGGGGTATTTTCACACAGAGTGTAATCTGAATGTTTATGTACTCTGGAACAGATTCCCACAACTGGAAAGCACCTCAAAAAGTAATAGAAGCCTCATATTAATGGAGGCCGGGGCAGTAAGGATGACATAAGTGCTCACATTCATGCCACATGTGGTAGCCTTAATGAGTAAGTGCTTGCTAAATCATGTGTTATCTTGAGCCTTATTGACTTACAGCTTGTAAATGTCTGCTGTAATCAATATGGCAGTGTAAGAGTGATAGTGTAGCTGTAATGGTCCAGAAATTCTGCGCAAGTGTTTTTTATTGGACCACCTGTGTAGTTAGGATAAAGTTAGACAAGTTTTTGAATGTAAGACATTCTTTGTCAATAAGCTGATTGACAATAAATCACCCTAAGAAATCCTTGCCTCTCGCATAATCAATACGTGAACTTCAGCAATGAAACAAGTGCCATTGGGCACAGTGCATTTCATCCCTAATGAATTCTTTTGATTATTGACAGCAGGTAAAAGCATTGATTTGTCTGCCGAATTATATATCAATTTAATTGTGCCCTTCTGTTTTGCACTAATGGTGAGGCTCAAGGTGTGTGTAGATTGCTTCCTGTTACTGAATCACACTAAAATCTTTCTGCAAGACTACAGATTCTCTTTCATTACCACTGGGTGGCAGTAGTAACATTTTAACAAACAGAACTTGGTTAGATTTATTTAATAGTACTGAACTGATATTGTAGCTGTAGTGGTCCAGGAAACATGCAAGAGATTTTGTGGGCGATATCTTTTATTGGATCAACTAAATGGTTGGGACAGATTTAGATAAGTTTTGGGGTATCACAGTACCCTTCCCCTTTCGATGTCCCTGAGAGAAGCAGTGCTTTTGAACACTTAAAAATCAGAGATAGACAGTGACTCATGGTCCATTATACTCTCCCTGATAGTCACTAATTTGAGCATTTCACAGGTGATAACAACCCTCCTAAACAATCCTGTTCTCCACTCATCAGGTTTTTACTACATAGCTTTGTCTGTTGGCCACCTGATCATTTCTCTTATATTTGGTTTTATTTACGTATGTGGTTTTACACAAGCCTTTGTTCCATCCACTTTTTACCTGTATTGTGCCTGCTTCTCTCCCACAGACATGAGAAAAGGTACTACGATACCTGCAAGTTTGTCTACAATCATCCCAACCATGCAGTTGGTCCAGTAAAAAAATATCGTCCACAAAAATTCTTGTCTTTCATTCAGTTTATTTATTTAATATATATGCTGCCCTTCTGAAAAAAGGCTCAGGATGCCTTACAATAAAACAATCTATAAAAAGAGAGAAATATCAAAATAATACAGCAAAGCAGCAACCCTCAGCCCCAGATTCAAAAGCATTCCACCCCACACCACTCCATACAAAGTGTACCCCTCCCAAACCCAACCTTACTTCTCAACCCCAAAATATGAATCTGCATCTGTGCAGGGGTAGGACTAGATAAGCCTTGAGGACTCTTCCAGCCTGAGGATTTTGTAATTTTATGAGCCACTGCAAAATAATGTACCCCAGACAGCTGATCACAGATAGTAAATAAATATTTTTAAATACATTGCAACATTATTCAAACTGAATGGATGAAAAATGAATCAAACCAAACCAAACCTAAGTGCTAATTAAGTTCAATTTAAAAAAAAGCAAGAAAGGAAGTTGCAGGGTTCCCACTGGAAGAGTTTTCATGCTTGTGTCCTCTAGCACATGGCTTTGATACAGCAACATTGCAAAACAGTCATGGGCAGCAGCTCATTATGTCTGCAAACCCAGAAGTCACGTGGAGCTTGTAGACCCTCACTGGGATGTGAAGATTATAGAATTCTAAGACAGGAAGGGACTATAGTGATCATCAAGTTCCATAAACACAAGCATACATGAATGAGAAGAACAAAACAACAAACCTTAATTGTGGAGCAGAGGCTAACCTCTGCAGACCGTTTGTTTAACTACCTAGCTACTACCTAATTCAGGAACCATCTTCCCATTCTCAAATTCCTCAGTCTCCTATGTTAGGGAGCATCTCTAAATTATAACTTCTGTTACTACAGGGACCATGAGGGTCATCTGGTCCAACCCCTTTCACAAATGCAAGAATATGCTACTCTTAAACCATCCCTGTCAAATGTTTATGGAGCCTCTTTCTGGAAACCTAACCTCTTCTTGAAAATATAGGGATGTACAGTAAGGATGACTGGATAGTATAGGTCTACAATATCAGTAAGGAAAGGAATGTACTGGTAGACAGGAGGACTGGAAGTTTCCTGGAAGTTTCCTGAAACTTAGGCAGGACAGAACATACTGAAATTTTAACAAGTCTTCCTTGTCACTGATATCAAGCCACATATTGTTCACCAGCTCATAAACTGGCTTCCTCATCTCTTCACATGTTTTATATTAGCCATGGACAACAGTTCATTAGCAGATGATTCCTTTGTGTGTTCATCACAAATATCCACAGAAGCCTCTGGGAGAATTTGATCGAGGCCTTAGCATAAGTGTACAGAAACTGCATGAGGTTACATAATTCCCTAAGTGTTGTTCATATACTTAAAACTAAAGCTACTATGCACTCTATTATATTGATTATCAATAGTGGGTATTAGCAGTCTGTCCACAGACAAGCCCTTAGCATATAGAAATGTGTGAAACTTTTAAAACCACTGTACTGCTGAGAAAATCCCAAACCTGATAAATGGCAGACAAGGTTCCTTGGGTGAATTTAATATCTTTTATTAGACCAACCCAAATGGTTGGAGAATGGTTATTAAGCAAGCTTTCGGGTTCAAAAACCCTTCGTCAGGCTAAGGAAGCTTCAGCAGTTGGTGTGTGCTCTTCCTACCAACTGCTGAAGCTTCCTTAGCCTGACGAAGGGTTTTTGAACCCAAAAGCTCGCTTAATAACTATTCTCCAACCATTTGGGTTGGTCTAATAAAAGATATCAAATTCACCCAAGGGACCTTGTCTGCCTACGTCCTTAGACCAACACGGCTACAACCCAAACCCCTGCAAACCTGATAAATAACACCCAATCTGGGCAGAAACATTTTGAAAATGTGTAGAAAATTTGTTTATGCAGCATATAAAACTCTTTAATCCTAAATTTAATAATAGGTCTTATTCTTCTCCTAACCTATTTTAAGAATACTAATTTTCATTCTTTATATTTCCAAATAGTAAAAGGCTTTATCATGCATAACTTGAGTTTCAATGGCTGGACTTGTTTGTGTCACACTATCCTTCCTTAACAGGATAAGTAGTTGTTCATTGGTCACAATTAGGCATGCAAGACCCCAATCTTCTAGTGAGGTGCATACACTTATGCAATGCCCACAGTCACCTCACTGAACAATTGAAGCTTAAGCTAAGGAAAGGTTCTCTGTGTGTCAGTGCATCTGGTCACAGAAATAGCAAAACAACTGATTAACATGGTAAGAGCAAGCTTCCCAGTTGGAAAAGCTAAATGCTTTTAAAATTAAACCCTCAGAATTATTTCCATTTCTTCTGGTTTAAAAATAGATCCTGACCCTTACTGTTGAATTGTCTCCAGCTCATGAATGTCATAGTTTTGGTCATTGTTTAAACTGGCAAGGAACATTCAGAGCAGTTAGTCGTACCATATAAAAGCATTAAATCAGCAATCGGTTTCTTATTTCCAGCTCCTGTGATCATTGTGCCACCAAAAAAGATCCATAATGTAACTGGTGCCCAAGTGTACCTGTCCTGCGAAGTGAAGGCAGTCCCCACACCTATCATCACATGGAGAAAGGTAGGCCAAAATCTGTTTTTTAGTCAAAGCCTGACACAAAACTAATCATACACGAGACACAGACATGGAGCCTCATCTGCTGACGTTAACAGTCAGCAGCAAGAATTTGGGTCATTTATTCGCTCTGTCACCCAACTACAGATTTAATGTTACCACTGTATAGCCACGTAAGAACAATGTGGCTATACACTGGGCCTCATCATAACCATCCATCAAAGGGAGTTGTCCATACACATCATGCTGAGAGGTTTTGAAGATTTAAGGACTGTTCTTAACAGATCTGACCCCAAGGATTTAAAAAGCTTGAAACCTTAGGGCCAGCTACCTAGTTAGTATAAATCAGTGCATGCCACTGAAGTCTATACAGCTGGGCTGGTTTACATCAAGTATGGTTCTGGCCCTGGACCTAGCAAATCCCTGTTGTGGAGAAGAGGTTTCATAACAAAAGCATAGCCAAATGCTGATGTTTACTTTTGGACTGACTTGACTGGAGACGATTCTCCAGCTTAGCTATCTCTGGGCTGCAGGCTAGAGCTGAGAGCACAACTCTGACAACACCTGTACAAAGAGACTTCAGAGAACTGCTTCCTTCTTTGGCTTTGGCAGGGGTGTCAAACTGATCCAGCCCTGCAGACCAGATGAAAATCATGGAGCTCCCCATGGGCCAGATCCAGAACATGGAGCTGTATCATCTGGCCCACCGGGCTGGAAATTTGGTGGCAAGTCAAATGGCAGCAACATTAATCGCTGTGGCTCTAGGCAAATTTCTGCCTGCCTCCCACCTCCCCCCAATCCCTGCCAACCCCAGGCCAGATCACACAGCTCCACAGACCATATCTATGAGATGCCTGGGCTATAGGAAGAAAGTCTTTTGTCCCCAAACCCTCAAGATCCCAGTCCCCACTCTGATGGTAGAGGTGATGCTTTCCAGAACTACAGGCTGGGGAGTGACAAGAGGAGAGAGGTACTAAGTTTCTGGGAGGGAGGAGGATGCCTTAAGCAGAAGCAGACATGTCCAGACTAGGGTGCTTAAAGTGAGGTACTTAAACAAGACAGAGGCCAACCTTAAGTGTTGAGCACTCAGGAGCTCCCCCTGACTTATTGTTACACTGAGCTCTCCCTCCCTACTTTGAACTCCCACTTGCTTAGGATACAGACTGAGGGGGCCAGAGGAGCCCAGAGTTCTGGCACTGGCTGCCTGTATTCTAACAATGTGCCAATGTCACAAAACCCTGCAGGTCACCGAGTCACCAAAGGGAGTTAAGCTCCTGGAAGAACTGCCTGGAGACAGAGTAAACATGGCAGTCCAAGTTCGTGGTGGGCCTTCTAAACATGAGAGCACAGGGTGGGTCCTGGTAAGTCCAGCACAACAAACTGCTTAGAGGGCAGGGGTGGCGGGAGGTAGGAGGAAGGACAGGTTGATCTGGCAACACAGCTCCATACAAGTGTGATGGTACAGTCAGTATAAGCTTGTTTCCTAAGTGAGAGAGATTTTAAGAGGAGAAATTCAAAAGAATGATTAGGCAGAAAAGCTCAAAGCAGCCTGAAAACACTTTCTGCTTAGCAAATGGACAGAATTTAAAAATCAGAGCTTATCTGGAAAGTAGGAAAGAGAAAATCTTTCAGATGTTCTTTTTTCTATGCTTAGTCCAAATGGGTTTATAGATGACATTTTGTACCTGTGATTCATTTTTTCCTCCTTTGCTTTTGCCAGATTAATCCACTGACAAAGGAAGATGAGGGGGTTTACCAGTGTCATGCTAACAATATGGTTGGAGAAGCGCACGCTGATGGGAACATCAAAGTCACAGAGCAAAGTAAAAGCAAGAAGACTGACTTCCTAGCATCTGATAGTGTTTTCTAATGAGGTAATATGACCATTTCCCCAACAGCGGCCTGTTGGCCCTACAGCTACTCCTTACTTAACATCATAGTTACATTCTTGAAAAATGTGACTTTAAGCAAAATGATGTTAAGCAAATCCAATTATGTCACAGTAGTTACCTACTAGCAGGCAGCAGCCAAACAACATTATAATCGAACATCGTGCGACTTTAAACAAGTATGTTCTCTAATAGATCAGCGACATAATAATGAAACCGTTAACCGGGACAATGTTAAGTGAGGAATACCTGTATTTGCATCAACTTTCTCTCTGAAGATGCAGAGGTGGAAAGACTATGACTGAGAAAGAGAGAGATAGGCAGGGTTTGGAGTTAGTTACAAGTTGAACCACTAGCTTAGTATTATCTCGAGCAAAGTCAGTCTCCCTTTTACCCATGCTTGTAAAAGAACACAAAATTAGCTCATTACAGTGCACTATACATATGATGTCTTCAAAAACAGATGCTGCTGCTCCAGGATCAAACATTTCTGGGCTAATCCAAATTCAGGCATTACATTAAACTGTATAACAACTGTGAGATGAGCACACTGCATGCACCAGTGCCTTCCTGAATGTCTCCATTTCCTTCCACAAGCTCCCTCGGGGTTATACTCCTGTCCCCAATCCTGTAAGTCTTCCTACAACTCCTTCAGCTTCCATTCTCTCGTGCTAGGAGCTCTTTGCTTCCCACTCACACTTCTACCACATGCTAGAGACTTGTTTGGTCTCCCATTTCAATCTCTGTCATTGTCTCCCATTCATGCCAGGAGTTCATATCTCCATCCCCACCTGTTACTGTATTTTTTATTTTCTGTCTAGGAAATAAAACATTATAAACTAAGAAGGGGAACAGAGCTGAGACAGGGTTTTTAACAGCTACCATCAGCTTTACTTAGACCTCTAGACTAGCAATAGGCAGCCTGTTGTGGCTGCGGGCTAGAATGACCCAACTTGGGTTAAAGGCAGGCATGCAGGCCCAACTGCAGCTGTACCCAACTACAGCTGGTGCATCTCCCCATGGCAGCATGGGGAGAATGCCGACACCCAAAGTGCCTCACTACTGAACAATACTGAAGCCCCCCATCCATGGGCAGAATCCAGTGGTTTTGTGGGCCTGATCCAGACTGTGGAACGTAGGTTGCCAACCCCTGCTTTACACAATTACAGAGCTGATTAGAGCTGCTGCTTCTGCTAACCATATGCCATGGGCATTAAACATCCCCCACTCGTGACTTCTGATTTTACAGTTTTCACGAAAATCCATAAGGTTCTATCCATTACTGCCTCTGAAATATGGGAATTAAGCAGATACAGCATTCCAAGTTAGTATGTTAAGTCCACATAGACAACCAGAGAAAGGCCATCAAGGTCAGCAGAAGACTTTAGTTAGCTGGTAATTGCTGTTTTCAATATAGTAATTACCACTATATAAATACACATTGTTATATGATAAGAACTAATTTGTTATCTCCAGACCACAGGAGTTTATCTTCATATTGTAAAGATGCTAATGTCATGTGCCGAGAGGCAGAAAGACTTTTCACATCTATCACCAGCTCACCTGAGTCACCTCACCTTTTGTGATATCCTTGAATGTACATGGTTATAATTCACCCCAGTTTATGCAACATTTGGTCCAACTGAGTCCTCAAAACAGGACTTGTGGTGCATGTGTCTTATGCCACCATTCAACAGACACATTGTGGAGGCACAGACATAAGCAGACACCAAGCAGACAAGTGACAACATTTTATGGTGAATTATGTCAAACACATAATGAAAAGTATGACATAGGCCAGGGACATGGAGATGGAAGAGAAGAATGATGAGCATCTAGCTGTATTCTGGAAACACAGCATATGATGGAGACATGTTATTGGTATTAGGAGATCCCACTTGATAACACTCTCAATTCTCATTCCCTGTCTAGGAAGAAGTGATTCAACCTTCACTCGAGGGGAACTAGGAACACTGAGCAGAAGCAAAAAAACTTGTCGATGAGTGGCTTGCTTTGCTTTCTTACACTTTGAGAATTAGGATACCCTAAATTAATATGGTTGTTACATGCTAAACATTGGTTTTGTACATTTTCCTATTTAGATAAATATTAGATTCATAATGAAAATATGTAGTTTGTAACTGGGAGAAAATAATGAGCAATAAAAAGCAAGAAGTTTTTTTTACCATTTTAAATGATATTCTGTCTCTGGGATTTTTTTTTTTTTTATTGGCACTCAACTCTACAAGAACAACAGCAATTAGATCATCATTTCCACACCTCAGTTTCTCCCAAAGACAAATCACAGTGGTATAGCTACAATAGTGTCTTTTATTTTTTAAGCAAGCAAGAAAGCTCTTTAAACACACCAAACATTTTTTTTAAACTTTAGTAATTGTTTCTAGTCCATTACACAGCAGCAGCTACAGTCAAGTTCTAGCCAGCATCCTATATTCTGAAGATGTCTGTAACTCAGAAGTGGAGTTAGAAACTACTCCACTCTTTTACAGCTCTGCAACATGACTGATAAGAGTGAGAAGCGGAGACAGTGGGCAGCCATGGAGGAAGAATTGGAAAAGGAGGATAATCAATGGACACTACAGCACATGGTTGGGGGCTGCAGGCTTCTGGTGATCCGGGAATGCCTCTGTATCTCAGGAAGGCTCAGGAGACTGGCACAGACTAGTAGAAATCACATTCTTCTGCAGGTGTGAGATGATCAATAGTGACTGCAGAACTTTCACATGTAGAAAACAACCTCTTTTGAGCTGTGTGCTAAGCTCCCCACATCCACCAATGCTCTGATGCAAGAAAATCAGACCCATCAGTCAAGAATTGGGTGGTGATCTCATTGTGGAAGCTGGTGTCACCAGATAGTTTTCTGTGGGATATTAGAGGTCAGGAAGTCCACTGTTTGGAGCCATCACCATCTAGAGGTCATATAGTGGGTTGTAAATCTCAGCAATGTAGAAGAAATAATGGAGGGGTTACAGGTGACACCAAGCTGCAGAGAGTATTAGATACACTGGAGAGTAGGGCTAGGATTCAGAGAAACCTTAATAAATTGGAGGATTGCACCAAACAAAATCTCATGAAGTTCATTAAGTGCAAAATCCTGCACTTAGAACAAAACAATCCTATGCACCAGTACAGGCTGGGTACTGACTAGTTAAGCAGCAACTCTGCAGAAAAGGACCTGGGGGTTATAGTGGATTATAAGATGAAGATTTCATAGATTTCATAGATTTTTTGGGTCGGAAGGGAGCTCAGTAAATCATCAAGTCCAACCCCCTGCCCTGGGCAGGTAGGCAGGAAAGCGTGCTGGGGTCAGATTACCCCAGCCAGGTGTTTGTCCAGTCTCCTCTTAAAGACCTCCAAGGTAGGGGAGAGCACCACCTCACTTGGAAACCTATTCCAGATTCTGGGAACCCAGACCATGAAGAAGTTCTTCCTGATGTCCAATCTAAATCTGCTTTCTGTCAGTTTGTGGCTGTTGTTTCTAGTTACTCCAAGGGGCACCCTGATAAACATTGTATCTCGTACCTCTTACTGCCTCCCTCCCCCCCCACCCTCCCTGATGAATTTGTAGACAGCCACTAGATCATCTCTCAGCCTTCTCTTACGGAGGCTGAAGAGATCCAGGTCCCTCAATTTCTCCTCGTAGGACCTTACCTGCAGGCCCTTAACCGTACAGTTGGCCCTCCCCTGGACCCTCTTAAGGTTATCCACATCCCTCTTGAAGTGCTGTGCCCAAATCTGGATGCAGTATTTCAGCTGTGGCCTCACCAGTGCCACATGGAGGGGAAGTATCACCTCCTTAGACCTGTTTGTGATGCACCTGTTAATGCACGATGGAGTGCGGTTAGCTCTATTGATCACTTTGTCACATTGTCAACGCATGTTCATCTTTGAGTCAACTATGACTCTGAGATCCCTTTCCACTGCTGTGCTGCTTAGAAGGTCATCTCCCAATCTGTCAGTGTGTTGGTGATTCCTTCTGCCTAGGTGCAATATTCTGCACTTATCTTTGTTAAACTGCATCCTATTTTGTTCTGCCCACTTCTCCAGCACAGCCAAATCCATCTGAATCAGTTCCCTGCCCTCCAGAATGTTTACTTTGCTCCATAATTTGGGGTCATCCGCAAATTTGGACAGTATGTTCTCCACGCCCTCATCCAAGTCACTGATGAAGATATTGAACAGCACAGGCCCAAGGACTGAGCTTTGGGGCACCCCACTGCCCACATTTTTCCAGATTGATACCAACTAGGGGTGTACAAAGTGGGATCTCTTCAATTCAGATTCAGATTTAGACCAAATCAGGGACAGTGATTCAATTAATTGATTCAGATCACTGTCCCTGATTCGATTCAGCCAAATCCAAATCTGAAGATTCAATGCTGATTCGGAGAATCAGCGATTCGGACATAGACACAGTTTTAAAAGTTTTTTCGACATACCCCGAGGTACCAGGCGCAGCTCATGATCACTGCGATGCTGGGGCACATGGAGGGTCCCACAGGAGTGCGAGGGGGACCTCTACCTGCTCGGTGGCAAACCTGGAAGTGGGTCGGAAGTACTTCTGGTCCACTTCTGGGTCTGCCGGGGAGCATGCAGGGAGCTCCCATGCCTCCCCACCCCAGCTCAGCAATCAGCTCCAGGGGGACCCTGGGTGCCCCCCCCAACCCAGGAGATACTAGTCACCGAGCTGGGGGAGCACAAGGGGACCCAGCACACTCCCCGGCAGACCCAGAAGTGGACCGGAAGTGCTTCTGGTCCACTTCCGGGTCTGCTGCCGAGCGCACTGGGAGCCCCCCGCACTTCTGTGGGATGCTCCATGTGCCCTGGCATCACAGCACTCATGAGCCACTTGCTACCTACAGGTATGTAGAAAAAGCATTTAAAGCTGTCTCTATGTCTGAATCTTTCTGAATCTTTCCAAATCGATACAGAGGGTTCCAATTCAATTCAGAGAGATTAAAGGGTCCTCTGATTCAATTCAGATTCAGAGATTCAGCCAACAAATCAGGCCAAATCTCCGCCAAATCGAATCAGCCCTAATACCAATCCATCTACCACCACTTCTGGGTGTGACCCCTAAGCCAATTTGCCACCCACCTGACTATGTAATCATCTACATCATAGCCACTCAGTTTATCTGTGAGAATAGGATGAGACACCATATTGAAGGCCTACTTAAAATCCAAGTAGATGAGATCTACCTCGATTCCTACGTCTTAAGTATTTTGTGACCTGGTCATAAAAAGAAAGGTTAGTCAGGCAGGATATACCTGCTATCAATCGATGCTGGTTGCCCTTCAGCATTATTTTTCCTTCTGGACTCCCACAAATATAATCCTTAATTTTTTCAAAGGTTTTCCTGAGGATGGAGGTGAGACTAACTGGTCTATAGTTACCTGTCTCCTCTTTCCTCCACTTTTTGAAAATAGGGAACACATTGGCCCTTTTCCAGTCTTCTGGGACTTGTGCCCAAACAGTTCTGCCATGACACTAGCCAATTCTTTCAACACCCTTGGATAAAGATGATCTGGGCCTGCTGACTTGAACACATCAAGCCCCTCCAAGTATCCCTTTACTAGGGCAGTGCTAACCTTCAGTGGGCTGGTGTTCCTCTTGTGCAGAGCCACCCTTTGGGGAGAAGCAAATCAAAGCAACCACCCCAGGCCCCATGGACAGTGCCACTGCATATGCTGAGGGCACCACCACTCCACATGGCCACCATGCACCACTGCCTTTATACTCTGTCCACTCATCTCTTTTTTTTTTTTTTTTTTTTTAAATCCCTAGGCATCCCTGTTGAGCCAAGACAGTTTACTTGCCCTCTTTTCATAGGCTCTGCTGGGATTTGAATCCAGGATCTCCTGTTTACAAGACAGGTGCTTTAACCAATTAAGCCACAGAGCCCACCAAGTAATCATCACTGTGCTCTTATTATGAAGAAGGCTAACAGCATACTGGGTTGCATTAGTAGGAGTGTTACCAGCAGATCGAGGAAGGTGTTTTTTTCCCCTCTATTCAGCACTGGTGAGGCCAAATCTGGAGTACTGTGTCCAGTTCTGAGCCCTCCACTACAGAAAGGATGTGGACAAATTGGAGAGAACCCAACAGATGGCAACAAAAATGGTTAGGAGACAGGGGCACATGACTTAAGATAAGAATCTGAAGGAACTTGGCTTATTTAGTCTGGAGAAGAGAAGTTTGAGGGGTGATTTAATTACAGCCTTTAATGATCTGAAGGGGGGTTCCAAAGAAGATAGAGCTAGACTGCTCTCAGTGGTGGCTGATGACAGAACAAAGAGCAATGGTCTCAAGTTGCAGCAAGGGAAGTTTAGGTTAGGTATCAGGAAAAGCTCTCTCACTAGGAGAGTTGTGAAGCACTGGAAGGGGTGGCCCAGGCAGGTTGTAGAATCTCCATCCTTGGAGGGTTTTAAGACCTGGCTAGACAAAGCCTTGGCTAGGATGATCTAGATGGGATTGGCTCTGCTTTGAGCAGGGGGTTGGATTAGATGACCTGACATCCTTTCCAAACCTAATTTTCTGTGATTCTATGGCTTGGAGTAATGGGTTCTCAAACTGTATAGGGCCATGGACAAGACTCATATACCTCTTCTGGCCACTTTTCCAACCAGTTTCTGACTAGCACATTAATAGAAAGGGGTACTTCTCCATGATGATATGGACCTGGGTGCATCACAAAGCCAGGTTACAGATGTAAATTGTTGGCTTAGGTGGTTGGGAGAGATGAACAATGCTAGCATTTTTAGGCACACATGGCCCTTTCATGAGTTACCAGGAGGGATATTCCTCCCAGACTACCACATTAACATTGGAGGCAATTAAATGCCTAGAATCATTGAATCATTCTGAGGGATTCAGCCTGCTCTTTCCTGCCCTGACACAAGAAGCCATATAGATGATTCATAAATGCTAGGGTCAGAAGGGACCTCAACACATCATTGAGTCCGACCCCCTGCCTGGGCAAGTAAGAGTGCTGGGGTCAGATGAACCCTGCCAGATGCCTATCCAGCCTTCTCTTAAAGACCCCCAAGATAGGGGAGAGCACCGCCTCCCTATTCAGACATATTGGCATATGAATGGCAACAAGGAAAGGTTCAAACACTGACTATGCAGATAAACAATAGAATGTGCCTTTGGGCATCTGAAGGGCACTGGAGAGATCTCATGACCTGGCATC